GTACTGTTTCCTGTCCATTACAACGGTCGCTCCTCCCTTATCCGCCTGAAGAACTATTTGATCATTCTGCAACCACACAAAAGGCCACACCATCTTGGCCTTCATACTCGAGGCCACAACATCTTGGTCTTCACATCTTCAATTCTTTTGTAATGTTTGTTTTTCCAAATACCAGCCAATCTGCTCCTTTGTATCGATCCTTGATGTGTCAGGATCTGTGGGATTATTTCCAGTCCCATCTCCCGCCTTGTCTCTTCCGGATATTTATCCGTTATGTTGACAACTTCCACCAGAATATCACTAAGGGCTTTTCCTTCATTACCTAGTGAAAAATGTAACCCCTTCATTAAGAGATCCGTAGTTTAAGAATCAAAAGCGATTGAATATAGGTTTACTACCTTTGACCTATCGTTGTCTGTAGCAATTGATGCCTTCAATAGAGAAACATCAAAATTTGCCCGGGTTAGATTGGTCTTACGCTATCTTATTATACCATAGCTAAGCAATTTCTTTTCATGCCGCTTATTTATCAGAGCCCTGACCCTCTATGGCTTCTGGTCGGTCATGCTCTGAAATTTTTTTAAAAATCATCCAAAGTGAGAACCCTACCTAGATCCTTTCTTAATCTTGACTTGAGAACTATGAACTTAAATAGCTTACGCCTCTGTCTCGTAACTTTCCTTTAATTTCTGGATGGAGGCGTGATATTTCATTACCTGTGTCCAAATGACACTACCTCATTAGATTACAGAATCGGGTAGCAATACCTTAATGTTTGCAATAATTCACCCAGATGCAAGGGATGGACGAATTACGCCTCGAGTAGCATAGATGTGGATGCAGGGGTCGAGTCTAATACGTGTATCAGACAGATAGCAGACGGATTCTACGGGGCAAGAGGGAGACTCTGATAGGACCAAGGGAAGAAGGACTACGTAATAATATAGCAGACTCTGGTCAGCATTCCCAGCATAAGGGTGATGGGGTGATTAAGACAGCGTGGATTTTAAAGGCTTTTCATGAATGCCGCTCAAAGAAGCACAATACACTACATCTAAATAGGCATGGTAAAAATTGTGACAGTGAAGGTGTGATAAGAGGATATAGGAAATGTGAACAGCCCAAGACAGAAGGGGAGATAACACAACCATTTAGCACACGTTTGCTCAAAGGATAGGCTTACTTTTCTTTCTGACGAGTTGTAATATGGTGCTAAGAATGGTGAGACTCACTAATGATGCCGACTGTGATGCTGGCGAAACGTTTGAGAATGTATCATGTCCAGGGTCCGATTTTGGAAAGTATTATGAATACAATGGACTCCAGACTAAATGCGTTCCTCTAAGTCTTCCTACATAAATGACCAAGTTGCGAAAACAAGGTCGAACAACCACCATACAATGAAAGGAGACTGCGACCACACAAAAGGCCACAAGATCTTGGTCTTCATACTTTCGATTAGAATTTTTTAAATCTAATAGCATAAATATTTACTCTATCGCTTTATTTATAGCAATATAAGCCCTGGATTTTTCATGAATAAAATATGTGAAAAGCAGTTAATAAAGTAGGTCTTGCTTAATTAATACTAGAAATACGCGTTCCCTTGTTTTTTGTCTATTTTTAAATGTCCCAGGCTCGACAGAAAGTAGAAAGAGGCTAGCTATCCGCTTGAGGCGTATAGGCAACTTAAAAAACTTATTCTCGTGTATTTGACTAAAGTATGAAGGTTTGGACTCATAAATGTAAGTAAATATTAAATAAGCACTAGGTTTTTAACAGCAATACATCTCTAAAATGGTCTCTAAACGGTCGACAAGAATTAGTTGATAAAAAGAAAGACGAATCATCAAAAAAATACCAAATTCTCAAGCAAAAAAAGTGATAAGTGCTTGCCTCCTGACTGGAACTGGCATCGAACTCCTCGTCCTCTTCAAACTCGCCCATCTCACCTCCAACACCTACTCCTTCCTCCTCCCCATCGGCTTCTATCTCGTCTTCATCCGGCCTCACAGACGCAGTGCACAAACCCAGAGTTGAGCTGCCAAGATCAGGTCGAGTAAATGAGTTCTGACAAGAAGTTGTAGCAGAATGAAAAGGCGGAGAAGACTCGGGAATAAGAAAAGAATGACCATGTAGAAGAGGTGGAGATGATTTTGCAGGTTCTTGGGGGATTACAAATGGAACGATAGGGTGACTGTTAGAGGCAGCAGAACGTGAGGGTGCCTGTGATGAGCTTGGCATAAGAGAGGAAGCTTCTGAGCCTAATGAAG